CGCTGGTACTCGGATGTGGGCGTATCTGCATGTGGGCGGGTCCACCTGGAGACAGATAGAGGAGCGGTGTCTCAGTTCTTAAGACCATCGGAAATATGGTCTTCCGATGGTCTTAGGAGACCCCTCTGAAAGGGTCGTTTGACCCCCCAAAGGGGTCGCAACCCACAGGTTGAGAACTGCTGCTAGAAGGCAAAATGTTGAATAATGTAGGAACCATCAAGAGAAGATGAAAAGAATACACAAAGTCACTGTAACAAAAAGAACTCGTTGACATTCCATCCTTTCAGGAGATAGCATAAACGCAATAACCAATGGTTCTGAAGGAAGAAGTTCAAGCTGCACTGAAAAGATTCACTAAAAACAAGACTCCAAAAGTTGATGAAATACCCATTGAAGTGTTTCAGAAAGCGGAAGAAGCACTGGATGCACTCACTAGTCTATGCCCGGAAATTTGGAAGACAGCTACTTGGCCAACTGACGAAGAAAATAATTTGTACTCATTCCAAAGAAAGGTAACCCAACAGAATGTTCAAACTATAGAATGATATCACTGATATTGCACACAAGTAAGATTTTGTTGAAGATCATCCAACAATGGTTGCAGCAGCACGTTGACAGAGAACTGTCAGAAGTTCAGGGTGGAGTCAGAAGAGAACGTGGAACAAGGGCTATCATTGCTGATGTCAGATAGATCTTGGCTGAAAGCAAAAAATACCAGAACGGTATTTATTTGTGTTTCATTGACCATGCAAAGAAGCTTGAATTTGTGGACCATCATAAACTGTGGATAACATTGAGAAGAAGGAAAATTCCAAAACACCTCATTGTGTTCATTTGGAAATTGTACATGTATCAAGAGGGCGTTGGGCAAACAGAACAAGAGAACAGTGCATGGTTTAAAATCAGGAAAGGTGTGCATCAGGGTTGCATCATCTCACCATACTTGTTCAATATATATGCATACAAATCATCAGAAAAGCTGGATTATATGAAGAAGAATGTGCCATCACGATTGAAGGAAGGCTTAATAACTTGCAGTATGCAGATGATACAACCTTGTTTGCTGAAAGTGAGGTGGACTTGAAGCATTTGCTGATGAAGATCAAGGATTGTAGCCTTCAGTATGGATTACAACTCAATGTACGGAAGACCAGAATCCTCACAACTGGACCACTACATAACATCATGATAAACGGAAAAAAGGTTGAAGTTGCAAGGATTTTTGTCTTACTTGGATCCACAATCAGTGCTCATGGAAACAGCAGTTAAGATTTCAAAAGGCACATTGGATTAAGTAAATCTGCTTCACTAGACTTCTTTAGAGTATTGAAATGCAAAGATGTTCTTTTGAGGACTATGGTAGGCCTGACCAAAGCCCTGGAATTCACCATTGCATCATATCCATGTGAAAGGTGGACATTGAATAAGGAAGACCGTAGAAAAATTGATGTATTTGGATTGTGTGCTGGAGAAGACTGTTGAAAGTACTATGGACTGCTAAAAGGACAAATCCATATGTGTTGGAAGAAGTAAAGCCAGTGCTCCTTAGAGGCAAAGATGGCAAGACATCGTCTTACGTATTTGGGACATATTTTCAGAAGAGAACAATATCTAGAGAATGACATCAAGCTTGTTAAAGTGGAAGGGCAGTGAAAAAGAGGAAAGCCCTCAAGGAGATGGACTGGCGCAGTGGCTGCATTAATGGGCTCAGGTATAGGAACAATTGTGAGGATGGCATAGGACTGTGCAGTATTTTGTTCTGCTGTGCATTGGGTCCCTATGGGT